AAATGTTCAATTATTGTTAAAACATTCAGGGAAAATGGCCTCCAGTTTTCACATACTAGGAGTGTCGAGTTCATCAGTTACTTTGTCTTTTTTCCACACTTAGTTTGAATGTTTGAGTGTGCACACTGTGTCCACTACTCATTGTTTAATCCAAAGAAAGAACAGTGAATATATGACCTAACCCGTCATAATCTCCAGGAGAGCCACATTGTTTTATTGTCCAGCAGCAGAACATTTTGTATTTCCTTCGGCTGCCGCTGTCAGATACACATAAACAGTCCGTGAAAGCTTTTCTTTTTCTTTCTTTCTTTTTTTAATGACTCCTTTTTTCGCCACGTCTGTTGCGGCAGAACTCTGAATCACCTCGGTAGCCCCAGTTCTTTATTTGTTATGCAATCACATTCTTAGCATGCTTGAATTTTCAGCGTAACAGATGCGACCAGCCCCGTGGTTAAATAGTCTGTTCCCCAGTCCATGTTTGTCTGTCTGACTGCTGTCTCACTGATAAGCACATGTCCCTGTGTGACCCAGCGGAGGAGTCAGAGCTGGCTGTTAGAACTGCTAGTTGTCCCCATATGTTACAATGACAGACAGATAGTAGACACAGAAACACGCTCCCGTACTAATAATGCTCTGACGGAAACACTCCTCACTTTACCCACTTCACGGAGGCTAGAGGCCACACGCAGTCTTTACACTTTAAGAACCCTGGAACAAAGCTTATAATTGTCATTATAAAGGGCTGCATAGGACTCTTTGCTCAAGTACAGTCTCTCAAGGCTACAATGCAGGCTGTCTTATTGGAGTTTATTTTATGACTGACAGATGGCAGCACGAATGCACTGCTGACTAAAAAGCTACTGAACCAGGGATCTTTTTGTGCTTGTTAGGCAAATATGTAAACCACTACATTATGGCGCTGCTAAGTACAGGGGTAGATTTTTGAAAATTTCACCCTTATGTAGGCAGTTTTCTTTAAAATGGCGAGATGGATTCAGCATAGTAATTCAAAAAGAAGAGCATAGCTTTCCTTACTGGAGGTCCACTCGTGAAGAGGCTGGAGACCGTAGACTACTTGCAGACTAAAATCTGTGAGTGATCAAAAGAAGATGGGCTCCAAGTTAAATTAATGTCAGCGTTTAGGTGACACATGCAGAGTGACTGCTGACAGCCATATAACAGTTCAACTGAGATTACATGTTTCCAGAGAGACCTGGCCAAGAGAGCAGCACAGAGTGTAACAGATAGAAACAAATATAGCCGACACACCGAACTCAACATCCAGATCGTCCGAAATAATGTATCCAGAAGATGCGTAAAATCTAAGAGTCCAGGGCCTTCGCCATCTGCCTGCAGTCGTCTGAGGTTGCAGTTTCTTTTTACATCATCCTCAGGTTCAAAGGTGATTCAGGCTGTTTGTCAGTTTGCTCAAATGTTCCAGGGACAAGCTGGATTGATTAAAATAGGCATATATGTTCTTTCAGAGGCACGTGAGAAAAACACGGTTAATGTCAGGGATAAACTGTGACTTATGCTCTAATGCCCGATGTAAATGATGCAGTAGCTGTTGTTATTATCAGGGATTTGGCACAATCTGACATTTCACTGAAAAAACAAAGAACAGATTGACTACATTGTCAGTGAACACTGATACTGTCAGTCGCTATAAAGTGAAAATGAATCCGCAGCTGCATTATTCATTAGTTTGATCGTTCAAGTTCAAACCCAACACACCTTTCCTGCCTACAGAAAAGTCTGTTATAATGAATGTACAGTAGTATTGGACTGAGCTGAAAGCATACATCCCTGGTGGCTAACATCACTGACTAAACAGTAATACCCTACTTTGTATTGCTAATGATTTTGGCTTTCTGCGTGTACATTTGTACATTTGGTTTGAACTCCCTTTTTTGAACTAAAGCACAGGCATAAAGCATAAGGAGTGAACTAGGGCAATAATTGAACAGACGTTTCCTTTCAGCCATCAGCTCTGAACTTTTCTAGACCCAGTGCAGCGTTACTGGACGGTGAAGGCTTTTTAATCTGCCAGCTCCCCGACGCAGAGTGGATGGTACTAGATCGCCGCAGTGCGAGACCAGCGCAATTAATTGTGCAGCGAATTCACAGCGAGCAAGGGGGCATTATCTGCGCCGCCTCTTGCATACTCTATCGAGGCAGCACCCCCACCTACGCCAAACAGAGGTTCGCTACTTGCGAGAAGTAGTCGAAACCTCGCGTGTGAAAAAACGTGTTTATTAGCAAAGTGTTTGGCAGCGAAGTTCATAAGGTGGACCCAGTTACAGGAGAACGGGCATGGAGGTAACGAGAAAAGTTTAATGACTCCACGCACCGCCATGAAGAAGAGAAAACAACAAAAAACACTAAAACTCAATCTGCAAGAATGAGAAAAACTAAGTGTGCATACCACAGAGACTGGGGTAATGCACTAAAGAACTACAGCTTCCAGTCTCTGGTCCCAGAGTTTCATGATCGTATAAGACAAAGATCGGCACTGGTACATTAAAGCCGAAACCTGATAGAAGCCTGTACCGGAGACAACAGCTACAAATAAGGCGCTATTTGTGTGTGTGTGTGTGTTTCTTTGGGTATTTTTCAGTAACAAACACTTGGTTTCCTGTGTCCCGTAGTGTTTGCCAGACCTCTGTGTTCTCTGCTCTGACTTGGAAGTCCTACAGCTGGATAAATCCAAAGATAAGACAGGAGACCAGGAGTTGTCCTTAAATGACCAGAGAACAAACATCCACCTGGAGCCATATTTTCCACTGCCTGCCAGGACAGCCTGTTGTCCTCAGATGACCCAGCAAACAAACAAACAGACAGACAGACAGATAACGATTCTACTCCTGGTTGTAGTAGTACAGACAGACAGACAGTCAGTGGGGTCAGGCTGCACTGACTTTCACATGTTTTCAGGAGCTGTCTGGAAAAAAAGAAGAAAACTTTAATAAAAAGAACTTTCTTTAGTCCTGCTGAAAACGCATTAAGGGTTTATACAATACAATTACTTTATATGCCATAAAATACTCTTTAGATTCTGCTCCTGGACTTTTGAATAGGCCGCATGCTATTGTAATTCCTCCATCAGAATATGATGGTACAGTCTATCCACAACGCTATACAATAATGCCCTTATTACTACTGGAAGAGGCACACATTGTGGAAAAACCCACTTTCTAATTTCTGTTTCCTTTCATTGGTTCAGCTCACAGAAGAATAACTTTGGAAACAGTCTGCCTCTAGAAAAAGCAAATAAATTCAGACTTTTTTTCTTGTTGAATATAATAAATAAATCAGTTTTGCTGAACTCATAGGGTAGCTGGGTTACTGTTACATGAGTATGTCAGATGATATTTATCACTTAGGTCATTTTTTAAACATCGAGGTCTTAGGGCCAGGACGGGTCCTCGGTGTTTATTAAGAGAGGTCCGACAGTCAAAAGGGTCTTCTGATTGTTGAAAATACGTCCTTTAATCCTAAATTTAGTTCTTTTTGTTCCTTTTAACTTTTGTCTTGGTGTAGCGGTTTACACTCGCACCTAAAAAGTTAGAAAATGTTTGATCGCAGGACACAAATCCCACTGGGATCCCATCAGAGCTACCAGCTGTGGCGACCCATGGGTCATTTCATTTTCGGTCCTCTCAATCAGAGGAGCTCTTTGATTGGCTGAACACTCTGAAAATAAGGATGGCTAACTTCGACCCTCTGGAATTTTTTCAAACTGTTACCTGTTACTCAGACAAGAAATCGTGTCCTAGAATCACATGTTTTTCTGCGGGAGCCTGGAGAGACTCGGGACACTGGTGTTGTTTAGTCACCAGGAGGCAAAGTGATGAGTCACCTGCAAGGCACATAATGAAGTGTTTAACCCCCCCCCTTACGTCACAGTGGCCCCGTTCTCGCCTCCACTTTTCCATCCGCCAGCCTACAAGCTGGTTGTGTACCCTGACCGTGATAAGGCTTGGTAAGAACAGGCGAATGGAGCTGAGATAAGACTGAGATCTGTCATATCTTTCCAAAACCTCAGACAGGGCGTGTGTTTGTTTACCGTCTGTCTGCTTTTTTTTCACCATCAAATTCCTTCCCTCCTTCTCTGGTCCCATGTCATTTCTTCTCTTGAACTTCTTTAAACCTGCGTCTCTTCATCTTATGTTTGATTTCTTCCTCCTTTGTATCTCCCCCTCCCGTCTCATCTTTCCTTTGTCATTTTCACCGCTTTTTCCTAGCTCAACTTCCTGTGGGTTGCCTCCCTCCTTTATGTTTTGAGCATAGCTTTTCCTCCTCTGCGATTTCCCCTTTTCCTTCGCCCATCGTACCCCTTCCCCGTGTGCGCTGCATCACTCCCGCACCCTCATATTACTGTCTGAACGAGGAGAAAATGGCTCGATCGGTTTTACACTGTTTTTCCCTTTTCTCCAGTCGTCCCTACCCCACCTTCCTCCTCCTCCTCCTCTCTCCCTCTCCTCTTTTCTGGGTTTTTATTCCGTTCCCAGACACAAAAAAGCAGCACTTGGCACTTTTGAAATGTAAATAAAGTTTTGTTGTTCCCTCAGCCGTAGCCTCCTCCAGCCCTGTTTATCAGGCAGACTTCAAAGTGGCACACTGACATGTGGCTCTATCTCTCCCTTGCTCTGTGAAATAGGGTCACAGGCGGCGCTTGGCTTTCACAAAAACTTTTCCCTTTCATGTCAGAACCTAGTGGGTGAGAGGAACTAAAGGGGGCCATGCCAGCCAGCCACCCACCCGCTATCCAAACTGAGACACACATCGCACCTCATCCACTGCGATGTGTGTGTGTGTGTGTGTGTGTGAATGTGGATGAGAAGTCTGTGTTCGCTTTTCTCAGCTGGTCATTGCAGCAGTTAGCCCTGCCCATGTTTTGCTTGGGTGTATCCGTTTCGCTCGTTGTTTCTGGTATCTCATGAATTTAGTCACTTAGTTGCTCACTCTCTGTCTCCCTCTTTCTCTCTCGTCTCTTTTAGCCGTGGTGCCAGTGTGAGAGCGCCCGAGTAGCCCCTGCTGAGCTTGGGACTGCAGCAACAGGACAAAACACATAAGAGGAAGAAAAATACAAAGGGGGAGTAAGCCGGCAAAGGAGCAAGGAGAATCAGAGGAGACGGCATGTTGGTTAAAGTTGAGTTTAAAAGACAAGCCCGACTCTAGAGGAGAGACATATTGATTCACCCTCTCAGCTCACAGAAGGTAAAGAGGCAGAGTTGCTCATCCGTAGGTTGAAAGGTTGATAGACAGCCAAGAATTCAGGGTATTGGTCATGACTGCGGGCCTGCTGCTGGGAGGATAGAGATCAGATTAATAGCATCTACAACGCAGCCTCCATCCTGGTCTAACCCCACCTCTAAACAACCCGTCGATCTCTCCCCCTCAGCCATCACTGTAGTCCACAAAGTCCACTGTGACAAGAGAGCTGAACCCTCATACGGGCTAGTTTACCAGGCTGCAGCGTCCTGTGAGAACAAAGAGTGACCTCACGAGCTGTCGCTGGAGCAGGGAAGAGACACTCACCCGCCGCGGGGCTTTAGAGACGGCGGCCTTTTAACCAAGCACATGGGCTGTTGATGAAGAAAGATGGCAGTGAGACTGACAGGCGCCACCCCTTCCTCTCGGCCACCCTCCCTCCCCCCAGCGGCCGTGGCTCGGACCGGTTAAGGTTGGTCTGTTGGCATCCATCGCAGCATCTGCAGCAGCTGGCAGAGCGTGGGAAGGAGCAGTATGCAGGAAACTGATGTACCGGCCACGAATGCCTTCAAAGGTAAACACATACAATGGACAGTGGTCTGTGTGTGTGTGTGTGCATGTGTGTGCGTGCGCGTGCGTGCGTGCGTGTGTGTGTGTGTGTGTGTGTCAGCCTGCGTTAAAGAAATTACTGACAGTGCCCTGTCAGGTCAGAAACACTGTCAGTACAGCTGGAATCTTTAACACAAAACGGACTTTGGTTGTGAGTCACAATATTTTTCAACAATCAGGTTCAAAGTAAAGTTTTCTATAACAAGCATAATGATTTTCAATCATTTCAATCATTTTTAAATCTGCTAGATACTCGATAGTACATACTACTTGTAAGAGGAGGATGTAGAGGATATGCTGTTTATAGAAAAATTCATTGTGTGACTACATGCAGTGTTCAAATCTTAAGAGCTCCACTTTTAATTAGGGATCAGTCTGGTTTCTTGAAATAGGATTTTTAGTTGGTGGTAGTTAAATTCTGAGATGGTGAAAGATCAGCTGTTGTGTCTACACGCATGGCCATCCTGAACCCAAACAGGTTCCAGAGGTAATCCCATGTAATCATGTTACATTAAAAAAAATCAGCTTCCATGTGTTTAAATGTATTAGATACCATCTGCTGTTTCATGTTGCAACTGATTGGTCACAAGCAGCATCTATAAAAGTTCAGCTTCTTCTTATAACACAGTGGAGCAACCAAAATTTTGCATGAGATGTCGATGAGATGGCAAAATTACATAAAAGGATTTTGATCATATTAAACTGCATGTATTAATTCATATTAAATTTGCCCAATTCTTAGAGATTTTTACTAAGTCTGGCGCTCAGACATCTTGAGGTTCTGTTCGGGGTTTTAGGCTCACTAACTGTAAGGATAAATGCTCTCCTGCTCTCCAAACAACATGTGGAACTCTGAACTTACATCCTGAATGGCATCATTTCAAACAGTTTTTAAAGAAGGGTCAGTCATGGATGCTTCTCGTGTTACACTGCTTTGCAAATCATCTTAGGCTATCCATGCTGATATTTATTCCTTTACAAATAAAACATTAACTCTAGTTCTATAATTTGGCAAAACCTCAAAAGAATAAGTCTTGTGTGATTAATGTTTTCTGTCCATAAGTGTTTGTTTTATTTCTTAAGAAGGAAACCCCACTGAATTTGAAATTCTGAATAGAAACTCCACTGATTTGAAACCTTGCACAGACTGAGAGGGGTCTGAGTTATTTTGCTGTTGAAAAGGGCCGGCCAATTGTTGAGGATGATAAGACTGCACCACCAACTGTCAGCACCACACTTTGTAGTCTGATTTTGTGGTATTGCTAAATGCAGTGATAAATCATACTGCATTGATACATGTTTCATGTCCAAAAAGACAACATTGTTTCTGTGCATCCACTTGACTCAATCTCCCAAAGCTGGTAGATCATGTGACAGAAAGAAAGAACAAACTGGCTCTTGGATGGAAGAGGCAAAACAGGATCATGAAGTGAAGATCTGTCATCTTTACAGCTTTACAGTCTATACAATGAAAGTTGAATGAAGAAAATAAGGATACATGACTGAAATGAGGAGTAGTGTCTGGGATGATCAGGATACAAATTCAAATTCAATTCAGTTTTATTTATATATCACCAAATCACAACAACCATGCACTATATTGTATGGCAAACACCCTAAAATAATACAGAACTTGCACTTGGAGACAGTGGGGAGGAAAAACGTCCGTTTAACAGGAAATAAACTCGATTGAACCAGCCTCAGCTGTCAGCTATCTTTTCAGCAAAAGAGGACACACAGACAGATGTTGCAGTTTATTCCAGCTGATTGGACATCTGCTGAGGTTGAAGCTGGATGGAGCTATGTTGAAAGTATACATTTTATGAACCACTTCATGAGGTCGTCACCTGAAATGGTTTTCCAACAGAGATGCTGAGCACTTGTTGGCCTTTTGCTTCACTCTGAGGTCCATCTCATCCCAAACCATCTTGATTGGTTTTAGGTCAGATGACTGTGGAGGCCAGGTCATCTGGCTCAGCACTCCATCACTCTCCTTCTTGGTTAAATAGCCCTTACACAGCCTGGAGGTGTGTTTGGGGTCATTGTCCTGTTGAAAAATAAATGATGCTCCAACTAAACACAAACTGAATGGGATGGCATGTTGCTGCAAGATGCTGTGGTAGCCACAGTTGTTGTTAACTTGTTAAAGTTGTTGTTAAATTTCTGAGGCTGGTGACTTGGATGAATTTATCCAGCACAGGATAAATTCATCAAATTCATCAGACTGTCCTGGCAGCAGCAGAGGTGACTCTTGGTCTTCCTTTCCTGGGGTGGTCCTCATGTGAGCCAGTTTAATGGTTTTTGTGACTGCACTTGGGGACGCATTCAAAGTTTTTGCAATTTTCTGGACTGACTGATCATCAGTTCTTAAAGTAATGATGGACTGTCGTTTCTCTTTACTTAGCTGATTGGTTCTTGCCATAATATGAATTCCAACAGTTGCCAAATAGGGCTGTCAGCTATGTACCAACCTGACTTCTGCACAACCCAACTCCACAAATGAACCCTGAAAAGGTACACCTGTGATGTGAAAACCATTTCAGGTGACCACATCATGAAGCTCATTAAGAGAAGGCCAAGGGTTTGCAGTGCTGTCAACAAAGCAAAGGGCGGCTACTTTGAGGAACCTAAAATCTAAAACATTTTGTTCTTTGCTACATATTTCCATATATCTTGCTTCATACATTTAATGTCTTCAGTTTGTATCTACAATGTAAAAAGTAGTAAAAATAAAGAAAAACCATGAAATGAGAGTGTCCAAACTGACAAACTGTATATAAATTGTCGCGAGTTCAAATATTGAAGGAGGGCACAAAACAACACTGGTCCAGAAGAGTTAAGTCAAACAATGATTTATTGAGCACACACGTGGGAAGATGTATACTGCAACACCAGCATTGATCTTCTCCGAAGAGCTCAATTCAGAATGGTTTCATTCATCAGGGTTACGCCCCCTCATGCGTCACAAATGAACATAATATGCATCGGTTACAGTAAATGGTCAATCTTAAGCCCCTAAAATTAGACAGAGAAGTTCCTCTTTCTATCACACCTTCCATACAAGGCAATAAACTTCAAGCCCTATGGGTCTCTGAGGGCTGGTTGTTGACTCC